TCGTCAAGCGGGGCTGAGCATGCGGGACGGGATGTGGTCCATGCCTTCGTCATCCTCTGGGGACCCTCCCCAGTATTTCCCTTGAACAAACACTGAACAAAGAGGCTAGGAGACTGATTTCCACCGGGGCCAGTGCTTGACAGCCAAGTTGCCCCTCCTTGTCCTCCTTACTTAAACATTCTCCTCTCAAGCTTTCATCATTTGCCAGTTAAGTCAACTAATTTTCTACTAAACCCAATTTCACTCATGGAGGGAGGAAGAGCTCAGTAATTTTTCCTCATGCCACGTACTATTAATGATGCTTGAAATTATGCAAATAAAATGGACGGGCACAGCCAGTTCTGGGTGGGTGAGAAGGGAGAGGCTTCACGTCAAAATGCCCACGGTGGATCCAGGCATCCATGAGGACGTCTCAGATGCTCTCGATGGGGCTCTGCCTTTGTCTCTCCTTCCCGCCACGCGTGCAGGGCACGGGCAGGACTGTCTGACATCCCCGCACTGCAGTCTTATCACAGAGCCTGTTGTACCCGCACGCCATCGCTCTCAACATCTTCCAGCAGCAAAGCCAGATGTGGACTCCGTACAAGGCCCCAGATACCCCTCCAGTGAGACAGTTAATTAAAGCAGCAAAACATGAGCAGCAGACAAGCGGCTTATCCGTCCAGTCTCCTTGTCTAGTCAGTGGCCAGGACATCTGCCGTGAACATCTGTGAATAAACTGCAACAAACGTACGGGCAGCGTCTTTGTCCCGCTGCCTTCCCCCCACGGGTCATCGGGCCAGCCCGGGGAGACGTTTCTCTTGCAGAAGCCAAGCCACGACTCTCAGAGTTTGGACTACCTTCATATCCTGTTGACCTACATTCAAATTACTGTGGTGCCACCTGCCTGGAGCAGCCCCACAAGGCTGGGGTGATCCCGCTGCCTCCTGCAGAACCCACGTCGGTGCCATGCTTGTACTCTGGGCTACCTCTGCCCACAACCCCTTTCCAGGCTCAAATGGTCACCATCTAGCAATGGACTACATTGGGCTCCCCCAGCCCCAAAATCATACGTTGGGGTCCTTACCCCCCAGAACCTCAGAATGTGACCATATTTGGAGACAGAGCTTTTTACAAAGGTGACCAAGTTGCAATGAGGTCATTAGTGTGGGCCCTAATCTGATATGACTGGTGTCCTTATAAGAAGGGAAATGTGGACCCAGACACACACACAGAATGCCGCGTGAAGGTGAAGGCGGAGATCAAAGTGATACTTCTATAAGGTGACGAACGCCAAACACCACCAATAAACCACCAGACGCTGTGGGAGAGGCCCGAGACAGAGCCTCCCACACAGCCTACCTCCCAGCCCTCATTGCTCATTAGACCACCCGGGGAGCTTTGAAAACCTGATATTCAACCCCCACCCCAGACCAATGAAATCAGAGACCCCAAGAGTGGGGCCCAGAGGTTGCTCTGTTTCTAAGGCGGTTGTGCTGCAGCTGAGGCTGAGAATCCCTACCTGAAATGAATTCCACCCCGGTGGATGCTGCGAATTTTATAGACAGAAGTGTATTATGTCTCCTGGGGAAGGTGGTTTTCTTTTTTAATTTTTATTCTTTTAGTTGTTTTAAATTGTACCTGGTAACAGATTTAGAAAGAACCTTCCTGAGGCTCTTCCGGGAACCAAGGGCAGAGCTGTCTGGATATGATTTACAGCTGTAATAGGAGAGGGGCAACCTCTCCCTGGAGCCCCTGCTTCTGGGAATTTCAGATCTGCAAGAGCTTGGCAGGTAGTGACTCACTGGTGGGAAGATACAGATTCTCTGTGGGGTGTGCGTGTGCGTATATGGGGGTGTGCCTGTGTGCATGCATGTGCACGGGTGTGTCACGTCCATGTGCAAGGATGTGTGTCTGCATGTGCTTGTGTGCAGGGATGTACACCTGTGTGCATGCAGGGGGTGTGCACACATACAAGCGTGTGCACGTGTGGCTGTGCATAGGAGTGTGCGTGCATGCATGTGGGTGCATGTGTGTAGTGAAAGAAATGGCAGCAGAGGCGTATTTCAGCTCTGAGTGCTTTTCATCAGGGTCCCCATCTTCAATGCTCTGGCCCCTGTGATGGGCAACTGCAGCCTCACCAACCACAGGCTCAGAGCCCACCGGGCCCAACAAGTGGTCGGAGGCGGAGGAGGTACTCTGGGCAGGCAAGGACTCAAGGTCAAGGCTGAAAGGGGAGACACCCCAATGTGGGCTGAGAAGCAGAACTGAGTTAAACTCCTGCCTCTTAGGGAGACTTGTCAAGTACGTCCTCTCACGGAAGAACGGGTCTCTAAGTGTGATGCTGGGTTGTCACAGATGCCTGGAAGCCCTCCCACTCCCTGAGGGAGCAATAAAGGAAGGAAGTTCTCACCCCTCTGGCCCCAGAAAATGCACAGTCAGAAGGGAAGACTCAAGCTGAAGGCTGCTGGATAAATGTGAACTCATCTAACCTTGAGGTGGAGCCAGGTGTCAGTGGTACTGACAGAAGGAACCTCTGCATGCACAGGGGACTGTGTGTGGCAGAGCCTGGGAGGAGGCCTCTGGGCGGTCCCCAGCCCCTAGTCTCTTCCCACTGTACCCTGGGCATCTCTGCCGACCCAGGGAATAGGGGCCCCCGGTCCTTTGCTTGTTGTTCTGCCTGAGGCCGGTCTGGCTTCCCACAGCCACCAGCTATGTCGTCCTAAGTTGCCGGAGACTTCTTTGGATTCCCACACATCAGGTCCCTTTCTCCTGCCTCCTCCCCATCTCTGCCCCGTCTGACTTTCCCCTAGGAAGCTTTGAGGCCAGGGAGAGAGGTGTCTTTTCATCTTTTGCAAATGTTAGCTGCCTCTGCAGCGTTCTGCTCTGCATCTCCTGAGCTCTGTTCAGAGGGAGCAGGGAGTGGGCACAGCACAGCGAGCAGCAGTGTGCCCTGGCGGGCAGCGAGAAGGCACCTCCAGCTCTGAAGTGGCCCACACAAGGGCAATAGCTTGTCTGACAACAAAATGCCACAGGGCGAGCGCCAGTGTGAGGGGCGTGCCGGTTCCCTCTCCCAGCGCTGGGCAGCTAGTTTGGTGGTTCAGCACCAGCCCGCGGGGACAGCTCCCAGCCTAGCTCCTTCCCACTCAGGTGACATTCAACCAGACGGGGCGGAAGTGCTATTTCAAGGTGGCACCTCCTCCCCCAGAACTCGCTGCCCCCACCTGGGATGTGCTTCCCAATGCCTCGACAGCCAGTTAGGGCAATCTCATCCCAATAAAGAAACAGAAATTCACCAAGCACAACAAAAATCCCAAGCCATAAAGAAAATATTTGATACCTTTAATTACATTAAAATGAAGACCTGGGGGAGACAGTTCAAGTGGTAGAGCGCACGGTTAGCATGCAAGAGGCCCTGGGTTCAATCCCCAGTAAATCCATCAAAAAAAACCCAAATAAAACCTAGCTACCTCCAGCGCCCTTTCCAAAAAAAAAAAACTAACTAAAATGAAGACCTTCTGTTCCTAAAACAAAACAAAACACCATAAAGAAATGACCAAGACAAGCCACAAATTAGAATTAGGAGATGCTCAGCCTCATCAGTTGTCAGAGAATGCAAGGTAAGAGCCCAACAAGATGTCATGATACATCTTCACACCCCCAGTTAGGAAACCCAGTAACACTAACTGTGGGTGAGAATGTGGCCCCCTGGGAGCCAATACATGGCAGGACTGAACTGGTGCAGTCACTTAGGAAAACAGTTGGCATTTTTGTGTCAAGCTAAATTTTCAGACACTCCAACTAAGTCCCAGCAATTGTGCACCTGAGTCTATCTCAAGGGAAAAACCCAGTCCACATCCAAGAGAAACTCTGACCCAGGCACACCAGGTGACGTGTACCAAAAGGTCCACCACAGCATCCTTCAAAATAACTTGTAAAGACATGGGAAAATGCCCACAGACAGGAGAAACTGATACACGATTATGGCACATACACACAATGGAATGTCATTCAGTGATGAACATGAATGAGATGGAGCTACAGGCAACACGGATGAATCTTTGAAACCTAACAACAGGCAAAGAAAGCCAGCCTTAGAGACTGCAGAGTAGATGCCATTCTTACAAGGCTCAAACCAAACCCAAATAAAACTAAAACCATGCGTTGTTCATAGATCCATGAATTTGTAAAACAAACAAACTACTTTAAAAAAAAAAGCAAAGGAATGATAAACACAGAATCCATGTTCCCAGTTTCCTGGGGCAGTGGGTGGGGGGAGGCAAAGGGGTGGGCGAGACAAGGAGCCCCCAGGCAGACGCGAGCACCCTGGTAGGTAATACTCTTGTGGCGACCATGGAAGACCACTCCACTCTTGGGCTTCGTAACATACAGCATGTATATTTTTGTACGTATCAAATATCATTGAATCAATCTTAATAAGTAAAAGAAGAAAAAGCTTATGTATTTCTACAGCCCACAGATATAGTGGTTAAAAATAAACCTAATCATACTCGCACATGCGGACACACGATGCTAGGACCCTCATCACCACTCTCCCACCTCCAACAGCATAAGAGGGACCCTGGAAAGGCAAACACTCATGAAAGGGTGGCCCACTTCACCACCCTCCAGGTCTTCCCGATCCCTAGACCCCAGAATAGGCCCAGGAAGGAACCCAGTTCCAGAAGAGGTCCCCTGAGGCTACACCAAGCCCACCAGGACGGCAGGCAGAGGGGACCCCATCTGTATGTGGCTCAGTTCCACAAGCCAACATTCGTCAGCCCCTGAGCACAAACACCAAGGCCCCCGTTAGCCGCTAGATGGAGAACGGGACCCTGTTTGAACAGCACTCTGCAAATACGCTCCCTTGGTGCATCCCAAACATGGCCAGGCATCAGGGTCGGGGAGGAGGGCGTGGGAAGCAGAGGGAGCAGGTGGAGGAGGAAATTAGGAATGTCGCTCTCTGACAGTAGCAGGAGGGCAGGGCTCCCCTACCTCCCCTCTTCCCACCCGGAACTCACCTCTGCAGCTCCTTCAGGGACACTGTGATCCGCAGGCCGTGGCCCAGGACATACAGAGCAGCCAGGATGTCTGCCCACTGCACCATCTCCCCCAGAGGCCCGCCCTTCAGCACCCGCGGGCTGAACACGTCCCCAGATTCCTCCGTCAGGAAGCCGATGTGGACGAGGATCTGGGTGGGGTTGGGGGAGCACAGTGGGTCAGCGTGGAGGAGCGGCAGCCCCCGGCCCGGCCACCCCCAGGGAGCCCCGGCCAGCAGAAGACACTGTCTCCTGCCTGTGCCTGGAAAGGAGCTTTCTGGCACCAGAGCACAGCAGAGGGACCAAGAGGCAGAGTGACCACTGGAGATACAGGTGAACAAGACAGCCACACCCTGCCCCCAAGACGCTTACATTCCCATGGAAGGGGTATTCAACGGTAAACACAGACAAGAGAGAATTTCATGAAATGATAAGGACTCTGAAAGAAACAAACAGGGTGAGTGAGAAAGTCAGGTAAATATTTATTGGATGGATGGACGGATGGATGGATGGATGGATGGACAGACAGATGAATTAACAAACTGCACCAAATGGGTTACATTATTCCCAACATTCCAGGCAAATGCATGACTTTCTGTCTGAAAAGAACAAAATGTCTACAGGATGTGGAACTCCTAAGGGGGAGAGGGGTGTCATTCTGCCCCAAACTTGGAAAGGGCCAGGGCTACCACATGTAACTATTCTGACTGTGCCTTCCCCAGCCCCTGGCTCAAATTCAAATAAATTTAATAAAACTTTTTTAAGGGTAGACCTGGTGTCCACTTGGAAGCCTGAGGCCCTGAGCTCCCTTCCTAAGCATTCTGAGCTCAGCTCCTCAAGTGCACAGAGAGGATACAGTACCTGCTTCTGGTCCCTCTGGACGCCCCCGAGCTTCTGCGCCAGGCGCTGGGCAGCCAGTGCCCACTGGGCCGTGAGCCTCTTGGTCCGTTTCTTCATGAAGATTAGAGACTCCTTCCCGCTGCCCATCAGCTCCAGGAGGTGGGACAGATTGCTCCGGAAAACTGCCTGGAGGCGGGGTCCAGATCTCAGTTCTCTAACCCTCCAGCCAGCAGACAGGCCACCACCATCACCCACGGCCCTGGCACAGGGGCCAGCACCTTCCCCATGAGGCTGGGCCTGTTCTAGCTTCTCCCACTCTTTCTAAGAGGCCCCCACAGTCTGTTCTCAGCACTGTTCTCAACCCCCAACACTCGCTCCCCAGCCAAGTTGGCCTCTCCCAGCCCAGCTCCAATCAGCCACCTGTCCTGAGCCCATCTGCTCGCTGCCCAGGACCCCAGCTGCTACAAGGAGGCAGTGAGGAAGGGGTCAGGGAAGCCAGGCTGCCTTTCAGTGTAGCCAGAGTACCTGCAGGTCTGGAAGAAGTTAACTTTCCAGGCCTCAGAGCCGTCATCTATTAAATACGATCACACAGAGACTGCTGGGAGATTTAAGTACAAATAAAGTGTCTGGCACACAGGAAGCCCTCAGTAAGTGACAGCCATTATTACCATTATTCCAGCCCATTAAGGGGACTCCTCCAGGGCCCCAGCCCGCCCCTCAGGGCAGCTCAGCGCCACAGCATCCCGCAGAAGTCGGGACAGGCGCCCGCAGGCTGGCGGGCAAGGACCAGCCCACCCACCAGGCAGAGCAGGCTGGGGGCAAAGAGCTCCTCCTGCTGTCCCCCAAGCATGACCCGACACCAGCCCCTTGCTGGTCTGTCCACCCACCTCCCACGCCTACCTGGACTTTGGGTAGGGGCTTGGGGGCCCTCTGGGTGGCCGTCTGGTTCCTCCAGGGCAGCGGGGGGCAGAACCACTCGACCTCACTGAGGTAGATGAGGAAGGAGCACTCGGTGCCATCCACCCCGAAGAAGGCGTAGCAGGGGTCAGAGGTCCAGCGGGCACGCATCCACTGCGGAGAGGGCCAGCCTGGGCCAGGGAGCCAGCGCCAGCCCCACAGGCACCCTCGCTGAGCAACCCTGCATGCATGCCCCTGGGTGCCCTGAGGTCCCCGGGACTGGGTGTCTGGGGGCCTGCCCTAAATATGCAGCAAGGTCAGAAGCAGAGAAGAGAGACCAGACTGGGGCCTTAGGACCCGGCCATGCGTCCTGGTCGCTGAGAAGCTCAGGGAGGGCCAGGCAAGACCACCACCTCCCAGGCCCAGGCAAAGGAGGTCCCCGAGAAGGAGGCCAGGTCAAGACACATGGGGGCAAAGCTCTGGGGCAAACAGAAGTGCAGCAGCTTGGTGCCTGGCTGGACTCCCTCTTCCTTCGTTCCCTACCGGCAACAAGAGCAGGGTTCAGCTGAAGCCAAGGTCAGAGAGCAGCCTCCAAGGGGGCAAGAGCTGCGGACTGGGCAGGACCCATCCACAGTGACCCCCACAGGGTCCCCAGAAGGGATCTGCCGTGCCACTGCCCTGCCCTCTTAGGGAGTTCAGAACCAGCGCGGGGCTGGCTCTGATGCCTGTGGACTGGCTCCCCAGATGGACTGACTGCGCAGCCAGAGGTGGGGCACTGGAGGTGGGATGGGAGGGGCTCTCTCAGTGCAGGTAGTCCAGGAGGGATGGGAGACAGAATGAGGGCAGATGGCCCAAGCAGAGAAGTGGTTTCCCTGAGGTTGGCCTCCACCAGCCAGTGCCAGGGGCAGGGTCTGGAGGCCCTTGAGAGTGGATTTCCCTGCCAGGAGCAGAATCCCTGAGCTAGTCTGGGGCACGGGCCCCGCCCCACCCTCAGCCCGGGCCTCACCTCCACCTTCCCAGAGCAGTCCGGGAACTTGGGGTCACTGGGCGCCTCACACTGGTCCCGCCGGCCTTCAGACACTGCTGGGAGAGAAGGCCAACTTGCTGTGGCCCTGGGCCCAGGGAGGAGCCCGGCAGAGAAAGCGTGAGGAGTGGGCTGGTTTGGGGTGGGAGGGAGTAATGCAGGAACACACACTGCCTTCGGCTTGAGTTTCCCCACTCGAAAGGGCCCCCGCCAGATTGCCCCCTCTGCCACCACCCCAACTCCTTAGGGAGTTCAGAACCAGTGAGGAGCTGGCCTGAATGGCTCTGGACCAACTGCCTGGATGAGCAGCCCTCAGACACTCACCCAAATGTACTCTGGACTTTTTGGAGGGGACAGAGGTAGGGCCTCCAAGCCTGATGCTCCCCACATCCCCCACAATGCAGGGTGACCCCCAGGGACGTCTGTCCTCAAGCCAGGTAAGGGTGGGGTGAGCCCTGAGGCACCCCGCTGAGAGCTTGAAGGGCCCTGAGGAGCCAGGGTAGCTGCCCGCTGTTGGGAGAAATCAGGACCCGGATGTCCCACCCAGGACACTGGCCTCCTGGGGGTAGAGGGGTGCCCCCGGCCCCCACCCTTGCTGTGTAGCAGGAGGCTGTGCCGCAGAATCTGGTCCACCTTCACAGCGATGTCCGAGACGTTCTGGGCGATGGCCTGGATCCGCTCCATGAGGCCGGCCCCAGCAGGGGACCTATGTGGGAGAAGCCAGGGGTGAGCCCGCCTTGGCGGCCTTCCCAGGAGGGCCTCAGCCTGCAAGTAAAGGCAGCGGGACACCAGGGCCCCCAGCACCCAAATGCCACCCTGTGCCAAGTAGAAACGCAGCGACGGGGAAAGCCAGGCCAGGAAATGGAGCTGCTGCTGCCCCAGCCTGGACCGGAGGGGCTCGCTAACCATCCCTGCGCACACGTGATACACAGCTGGGAAAGCCCACATCTGCACGTGCCCGGGGTGTCTGCACGTGTGTGAAGGGCAGTGCCCAAGGCTGACACAGGCAGAGGAACTCCATTCAAGAGCCAGCCGGGGATCTGTCCAGGGACCCCCCGGGTGATGGAGGCCCTTTTCCTGGGCACAGCCAGCTGCCCTGAATCTGTTTCTCTATCTTCTCCCAGTGGGGCTGTAGCTTGCCAAAATAAATTCCACCCAAAGCAGCCTGGGGACCTGCCAACTATTAAACCTCTAGTAAATTATTGTTGAGTTTCCTGAGAATGAATTCTTCCCAGGATCTTAAACGAGTTTACTGCCACAGACGTCATAGCCTCCAGCCCACCATCAATGCTCACATCGCCCTTATCGGGGAAGAATGTACTCCCTGGGGTGGACGGCCACTCCCCCTGCGGGGAAGGTTACCAGGCATCCCCCGCAGCACTTATCTCACTGCGAAAACTGGCGCTGAGGCAGACCCCGCTCTGCTGGCACCTGGGTCTCAGCAAGGAAGGGTCCGGGGGCCTTTCTCCAGGAAGCTGCCTGCTTTTTCTGAACACAATTGTTCCGTTTCTTTGATTCTCACCACCTCCGTGGCTTTGCAGGCCCCGTTTAAGCTCCATTTACCCCCTGACAAGGACAGGGTCTTTACTGCCGCACATCATGAGAATTAGATGAAGAAGGGTTTTTCCAACCTGGGCTTCTCCGCGGTCTGTTAACCCCACCTCCCACCAGAGAAAGCACAGTGGTGCCCTTCCTCGGCCACCTCCTCCTCGGGCCTCCCTGCCCCCCACCTCCACTTTCCGTAAGGAAAGGCAGAGCGTGGCCCCGTCCACTGAGAAAGGAGACAGGTGCCGGAGACATGGAGGTGGAGGTGGGGACAGAAAGCAGAGGTGATGGAAGGGGGAGACGAGCCCGCCACACATGCACACGCATGTGCACACGCACGTGCACACACAGTCCAGTCAACGCTCTCCCAACTCCAACAGAAAGTAGCACTGCCTTTCATTCAGTTCCTGTGGCTGCTCTAACAAATTACCACAACCCCAGGGGCTTAAAACAACACAGATTTATTCTCTCACACTTCTGGATGCCAGGAGTCTGAAATCAAGCAGTCAACAGGGTTGGTCCCTCCTGCAGGCTCTTAGGGAGAATCTGCCCCAGCCTCTGGTGGGGACCAGTGACCCTTGGTGCTTCTGGGCTGGTAGATACATCACCCCAGTCTCAGCCTCTGTCTTCCCTTGGCCTTCTTCTGTGTGTGTCCAAATTTCTTCTTCTTATAGGGACACCAATCACTGGATTAGGACCCACCCTGATCCAGTATGACCTCATCTTAATTTGATTATATCTGCCAAGACCCTATTTCCAAAACAAGATCACATTCACAGGTTGGGGGTTAGGAGACCAACATATCCCTTTTGAGGACACAATTCAGCCCTCAACAGCTTTCTGTAAAATTACGAATAAGAACAAGCAAAGATGTTAGACGATGCTTCTTTTGCTCAAAAAGTCCTCAGGCAGGAAAAAGTGGCAATATTTCTCCTTGGCCTTAGATCATACAGGAAAGTTGTCTGGAAGAGAACAGTGAGCTCGTCTCCAATTTACAGTAACACACCAGGAGATGAGCCGAAGTTCTGCCTCTTGTGAACTGTGTGACCGTGGGCAAGTCACTTAGCTTCTCTGTGCCTCCAGTGCTCATCTTTTAAAATGGAAGATGGGGAAGGGTACAGATCAGCGGTACAGCACATGCTTAGCATGCACAAGATCCTGGGTTCAATCCCCAGTACCTCAATTAAAAAAATGAATAAATAAATAAACCTAATTAACCTACTCACAAAGGAGTCCTGAGTCCTTAAGGACAGGGATACAATTTTGTATGTGGAACCTGGCACTTCCTAGCATGGGCCACATACCCAGGGCTCCATCACTGTGTCGGGTTGAATAGTGTCCCCTGCAAAATGCACATCTACCTGGAAACTCAGACTGTGACCTTATTTGGAAATAGGGTCACTGCAGATGTAACTGGTTAAGAGGAGGTCAGACGGAGTAGCCTGGTCCTGAGTTCAGTTACTGGGGTCCTTATACGTAGTCTGGGTGAAGACACCCAGGAGAGAATGGCCCTGTGGCGACGGAGGCAGTGTGATGCATCCCCAAGCCAGGGACACATCAAGCCACCAGAAGCCAGAAGAGGCGAGGACGCAGCCTCCCCCAGAGACTTCAGAAGTAACGAGGCCCTATTAGTACCTAGACTGTGTACTTCCAGCCTCCAGACCTGAGAGAAAACAAGTTTCTGTTGTTTTAAGACACCTGGTCTGTGGGCATTTTTAGGGCAGTCCTAGGAAACCAATACAATCAGCATCTGCAGGCTGAGGGAAACAGTTTTTAATTCGTTACAAAAAGAGAGTCCAGGGCAGGGCAGGGCAGGGGTAGAGCTAGCTCAGCGGTAGAGCACGTGCCTAGCATGCACAAGGTCCTGGGTTCAATCCCCAGTGCCTCCATTAGGAAAAAAGAGAGAGCGCGCAAGCCCAGCTTCTGCTGCCCGTATTAGAACATCTTTCTAACCCCTGCTCCTCATTCTACTGCTACTCTTATGGGAAATGAAGAATCATAGGGTTGGGGGTAGGGGCAGGGGTGGCAGGGTGGGATGGGGTGGGAAGGGAAACACCCTTGACTTCTCAAGCCCTGAATCCATGACTCTCTACCTGATTTACTGGAAAGAGAAAAGGCCTCTGAGTCAGAGGTCCTAGGGTCAAATCCTAGCTCCACCGGAGAGCTGTGTGACCTTGGGCAAGTTACCTAACCTCCCTGAGCTGCCAGGTCAGCTCATATAAAATCTGAATAATCTCAATTACCTCACAGTGATTAATTGCAAGGATTAGACATGAGACTGACTGTAAAGTGCTCAGCATACAGTAGGCGCTCCATAAATGTTCGAGATGCTTTCACTCCCTACCTACAGTGGTCACCCCGTCCCCGAAAGGAAGTCTCCTAAGTCCAACTATAAGAGCAAAGCACTTCTATTTCTGGGGATTCAGCAATTCTCATAAGATAAGCTTCTTTTTTTTTTTGCATAAAGCACACCGCCAGCACGGGCTCCAAAACAGCGCAGATGGCATCTGTCTGATGTAACAAGTTCAACTTGTTCAGAGCAGAAGTGCTCGGCGTCACTATTATTACACTGGACTTAGCATTTGTGCAGCACATTCTATTTTCAAATAATATGTGATGAGGTGTCTCTCCCCAGGAAGCTTTTATAAAAAATGACAATAAAAGTAGACGTCGTGAGGCTTCAAGCCGCAGCACGTTTACGACCTGGGAAACGCTCCTGAGGAAAAGAGAGAGAGTGGGGGCTGGACTGGGGAGGCGGCGTGCAGCTGCCTGCAGCGGACGGTGCTGTCACCGCTGGGTCGGGGCGGCGGCAGGGCTGGCCTCTCCATCAGGCCTGGGAGGTGCAGTGCCAGGGCCCACGGTGGGTGGGGGTCCGTAAAAATGTGTCAGTTTCTTTAAACATCAGGAAAAAAATGGTAGGTCACAGAAAACGTTTTAATATGCGATGTTAATACAGTAGCTTTTAGGCCAACACAGTCATAAAATATAATGTTGCTATTGGTTAAACTGTTTGACCAGGAGGTCAGCCTTGCTGCGTCCCCCTCCAGGCCCTGGACTAAGAGCCTGGGCTCCTGGCGGAGGCAGGTTTGGCCCTGGCCTTGCACTCACTCCTCAGCAGAAGGTTATCCCCAAGCCACGGGCACCCCAGCAAGAGGGGTGAGGTTCTCCGGCCCCAGCTTATAATCTTTAGGTATAATCTGTAGGTACCAGGCCAGGGCAGAAAAGCTGGGGACATTCTGCATTATCACATCAGCCCGAAGGGGCCTGCCATCCTCCCAGCTGGGCAAAGATCCCACCCCATCCCCCCACAAATGTGGCAGTCACATGGTTGCCAGGCTGTCAGCACCACCAGGCAGGTTGGCCTGGCCCCCTCCAGCTCTAAGACCTGGGCCAGTCCTTTTTCCTTGTGAGCCCAGTTCCCTCAGATGTGTCCATCACAGACCTGAATCGGATTTTCTTCATTGCGTGGCTGGCCAAGGTCAAAGTTCACGATCTGTACCCAATAGGGGTGGTCGTTACTATTACCATCATTAATTATTATCACTGCCACTTCAGTCAGCTCTGAAACTGGCCCGGAGGAGAGCAAATGACGGACAGGTCAGAGACTCTGTGCCACCCCGCCCCTTCCTGCTGCATTTGCAAAATAACTGAATGCAGCGCACTGGGAGTGTGAGACCTGGGCCCCTGTGCATTTTCTGAACACAGACTAACTGTTAGGCATCCCAGCAAAACGACCCATTTTAACTCAGAAAGTAAAAGAAGGCCAAGCCAGGCCCCTGGTCACCCACCCACCCCCCTCCCAATGCCCAGGGGTGTTTCAAGTGTCCACGGTTCTCTAAGCTCTTGAACAGCTGTCTGAGCCTCCCTCTCTCACACCCACAGACTGAGCACCAGTCCCTCAGGCTCATGCACAGTGGCTTCCTGGAGCTGGCCCGCCTCCAAGGAGGATGCTGGTGCAGCCAGCCTCCAAGCACTGGCCCAGGGCCTCCCAAAGGAGCAATCCAACGGCCACCCCCTGGCCACAGGATGCCCGGCTCCCTCCACCACCCAAGGCCAGGAGCCATGGGCCAGAGTCAAGGGGGATCTCTGGCTCCAGCTGGGGGCCAGGAGCCACTTCCTCCCCAGGACACAGGCTCCAGGTATCACCTCCCTTCAGGCCAG